CTCGAAAACCATGCCTCCAATTAGGCCCAATATTGATTGCAGGTATGATGATGTCTTTAATCTAGTATGCATATCATTATAAGTTTATAGGGTCTCTAGCTGTGAAACTAAGGCTGTTAAAACAAGCCCAACACCTAAAACCCAAGATATCTTAAATAGTACAAAAGAGGTCCAACTTGAGGTGAAATATTCCCATCCTTTTGCCTCACTATTACTTGCCCAAATCCAAAGGCTTACATGGGCCTTGACAATTTACAATTGTAGATTTTAATTTTAGTTATTAGGAGTTAGACAGATTAACGATATCTTGGTCCAACCAATATCTTTAAGTGTGTAACTAATAAAACTCTCTCCTTTTTGGAACCCATTGACAAATCTATCCCTCTACTCTAAAATAACACCCCAAGTTTAGATATAGTGTCATTGGTTGCTACCCTAGTGTTTGGCAAGTTTGTAGTGAAATAAAAGGGTTTTGACTTAGGGTTGAATAAGAGTGTAAATGGAAAACCTTAAACATAAAAAAGACAAGTTCAAACAACCATAAGTTCTCGAACAAATATTGAGTTTAAACACCATTGCTAGAAAGTTGGATAGGTAAAAAAGTTTCTTTTTTGAATCCTTAAAGGGAAATCAATGTCATTTCGCTATTGTAATAATATTGTATAAAATGTTGAAACTATTAACTGAAGAAGATGAGATTGTATTTATATAACTAAAGAGGCGACTGTTGGGGAGCCTCAATGACATCCATGATATTTTTATACTATAATTATCACGGTTTCTAAAGGCCCATGAAAATTAGTCGCCTTAAGAGGTTAATCAAACCTCTTCTCCTCCTAATATAATTTTGATAGGAACAAAAAAAAAAAGCATTATCTTATGTTGTAAGAGGGTTCTCTAACTTCTATGTATATAAATAATAAAATAGTAATTAATAATATAGACATAATATCTGTCTTCTAATTATTGATATTTTATAATTGAACAATATCAAATGCAATTCATATATATTCGTAGTAATAAATTTGAATATGTGTTCTTCCATAAAAATAAATAAGAATATCACATAAATTAAAAGATTATTCTAATCTTATTTTCAACTTATAGTTAAACATATTATGTGCAATATATACATACACACACACACACACACTAGTGATTATAACTTCAAGTACAAATAAAAGTATCACAGCATTATGTATAATATGCTTACATGACTCAATATGGTAACAACAATTAATAAGTAAAAGATGTTACTTTCATTATTAATTGATCTCTTGTAGCAAATATTTTTCTACCTACAGAATGTATTATCTATTTTATATATAAAAAGTAATAATCACAAATATCTTAGTTCATATCCTTATTTTTAAAAAAAATAATTTTAATATTTACATAACTAGTAAGAGTCTAATTTATTTTCACTTAACTAAAAAAATTCAATGTTACTTAAAAATAAAATTTAAATAACAATATAATGGAAGTATTACATGGACAATTCATTAAAAAATAATTTTTTAAAAGACTCCTTAAATTAATTTTTGATAAAAGTATACAGTATAATTTATTAATTTTTTAGTAAATATAATAAATTAATATAACTGTTGCTGTCTGCTAGAGTTTTTAATTTGGTATCTATGTGAAATTTGTAATTTTATTAACTATCTAATTAAAAACTTTAATCCAATTAAAATTAAAATCTATTGACATGTTGCAATCTACTAATTTAAA